GCTATTACAACTATTTTTACAGAGATGAGAGTACAGCTAGTCATATATGCAACTTTTGGTTGCCTATTTAAGTAGTCCACTCTAAGGTTCTACACTAGATGCTATACCTATAACTTACTAGGAGATTATTCATTTAAACTCTCTGATCATTTGCTCTGTCATATTGAAATCTCCAACTAATCCCCCATATATACCTAACTGATATACCATCTGAGCAGTATGGTACTTATCCTTTTTGTACTAATTTCCAGGTTGTTACACATTTTAGAATACATCACTTGCCAGTAAGGCACAGGAGGCTCTCTGTTGTTAACTATCTACTCACTTTTAGAACACTAACACAGACTACCCTTGCAGAGTTTACCTAGACTCCAGTACTAACTTCATAGCATATCCTTAGTACTTTTAGTATACTTCTGCTTTGAATCCAAACTCCCAATTCAGATAGTCTGAAAGAACTGTAACCTGTTCTTGGTATATTGAGGCCAGCCTAATATCCTTTTTCTTTGGTTCAAAATTTGGCAACCTGGTTGGTAGTATCTCTCACTTGAGGTTCTTGCTTGCCTGAATCCTTTACATTGGTATTTATTTTCTAGATTTAGCCTTTACAGTAGTACTATCAAAAATCTGTGTTACCTCTCTGCTTGGAATTTCCAAGTGGGCTCCAGCTTTCCAGTTCTACAGATTTACACAGCCTGAGGACTTATTTTAGGTTTGCACCACCCAGTACTGGCTTGCATTCCTCTGTGTAACAAGTTATACAAATGCCTCAGACTTGCCAATCATGCTAATGCGACTATAGTTACAGGTATCCTATCCCAACTGATCAACAGAATGCTATCATTATAATACCATCTATATATTACATAGATAATTATCCAAATTTCACTGTTAGTAGGTTTTGAACTCACAATCTACTACTTAGAGGTATGACAACTTATTCACTTTACTAAGTCACCACACTCTTAATTTTTCTACAGTTAATTTTTAATTTTTAATATAGTTAATTTTCTTTTTTTAGATACTTGTTTTTTTGTATCTTTTATATTTTTAATTGCTAAAGGATTTAAATTTGTTCTATTAAGTTTTACTGTCTACTTCTCTATACTGCTTAAATTACTTATATTAATTTTAATTATTGCTTTATATATTTTCTTTAGTATTAATGTTTCTATTAGATCAGTTTTTCACAATATTGCTATTATAATACTTTGACATTAAATAAGTTGTTTTTATTTGCTAATTCTAAGACAAATTTCAGAGCTTATACTATACATATTATACATGTTATATATATTATATATACTATACTATTTCTAGTTCTTTACTATTTATTTGTTCTAATTCTATACTTGCTCTTTCTCTTATCAACTTTAATATTATTGACTCTTCTATTTGTGTTTGTATTGTTATGTTATTTGTTGTTTGTATTACTTTTTTTTTTTTTTATTATTATTCTTTGACAGCCTTGTCAGAACTTTAATACAAAATTTTACTAATTGAAACATTATCTATTTCTAGTAATTCACCTTTGCAATTGCAAGCTCAGCATCATCCAAATACAGAAACTGCACTTAAATACAACTTGTCATACCAACCTATTCCTAGATTGAAAAACTTTGTCAGCTCTGTCAAGAACTAAACCATAATGAACTATTTCTATTCTGTATTATTTTATCTATACCTTTCATAAACAACTGTCTCTATTCTATCTCCCTTTCTCTGTATTTCTTCTCTCTGATCTTATTCACTAATGTTTCTTTAATTTTCACTTTTTTTCTACTGCATTCACTATTTTTAACCGTCTTGTCTCTTCTTTATTTTAATTTCATTGTTATTCCATTTTTTTCTCTCACTCAACTACTGTAACAGGTTAAGTATACCTAACAATAATCGATTCAGATGTGATAGTTGCAATAACAGTTACATGCAAGGGATGGAGATCGATCATAATCAGGTTCATAACAAGAAAACTAATGCACAATCGGGTAATAATCTAAAAGAAGATAACCAGCATTTATTGTACTTATGTGACACAATCATGATCATCGATTGTGATCGTGCATCGGGAATTAATGAAGTAATCAATGATAATATTAATTAGTTGGAGTTTTAGTTAGAGAAATTAATTAGTAATATAGTTAATACGCATAATAAATGTAGTCATAGTAATATAGTTAATAATAGTCAATTTGTAAGATATAAAAAGAGGGCAATAAGTAAATAAAGAAAAAATTAAAAAACAGTTACATTTGGTAGCAGCGGACAACAAAAAAAAAAAAAAAAAAAACCAACAATTGGATTGCCATGTCTCAACAACAATTTAACGAGTTTGTTGAACAGTTCATAACAAATCAGAAAAGTGTTAATACACAACTCACCCAAATTCTTCAACACCAAAACGCTCAAGAAAGATCTGTAGTTGAAGGAATGACTTATGTTCAGGCACCACTACAGGCAAAAGGTTTGACAGTTCAACTGCTGGTGTTTTACGGGAAGGAAAATGAAAATGTTGTGACATGGCTACTTCAAGTTGACTTACTATATAAAGCATGCAAGATAGAAGATAAGGAATGATTACAGTATATAATAACTGGATTAAAGGATGCAATGCTCTAATAGTATCTTAACAAGGTTCAAGCTCACGAAGCACAAAAACCATTTGAAGAGTGGCAAAGTTTTGCGAATGAAATAAAACAGGCGTTTCAACCCCTACAACACCAACAGTACTTGAGATAGCAATTAAGGAGCATTAAACAAACCACAACAGTGCAGGAGTATGCCTCAAGGTTCAGAAATATATTGGGCCAAGTGGAACAAATGGATGAAGCAGATAAAATACTCAACTTCGTAGAAGGCTTAAAACTAGCAACTAAAGCTGAAGCCAGTTACTGAGTACCCAAAAGTCTTGAGAATGCAATACGATTAGCAATGATGTACGATACTGCAATGTATGTTGTCAGTAGAACAGAAAGTCTAATTTCTGAAGAGACTGAAAGTAACGGCTTCAAAGTTAGTAGTCAAAAAAATAATGAAATAGTACCAATGGAACTCAATAGGACCGAAGTGAGAAAATTTTATAGAAACATAAACAAGGGCAAACAGGTTGTAAGAAATACAAAAAAAAAGGAATATAGACAAAAAGGGTTATGTTTCAAATGTGGACAAAAGGGCTATATAGCAAAAATGTGCCTTAGCAAACAAACCTCAAACCCCAGAACCTCTTCAAGCACAAATGCTAATGCTGAGCAAGCGAACTTGATAGAAAAAGAAGTTAGTGTTTGTAGTGAAAAGAAAGAAAAACTTCTACAGGTAAAAGGAAAGATTGGCAAAAAGGATGCCTTAATCCTGATAGATTCCGGTACCTTCAAGGATTTCATTAATGCCCAATTTGTAGAAACACATCAATTAATGATCAACAAAAGTATAGAAGAAAAGTCGATGGTAGAATTAGCCAATGGGACACCTTGTAAATCATGTAGCCATATGCTAAATGTGAAAATTCAGATATACTCTTAGAAGAAATATAGGAATAGAATAGAAGTCTTGTCATTACAAAAGTACGATGCAATATTAGGAAAGCCATAGTTGTATGATCATAATCCTCGAATAAACTGGAAAACAAACAAAGTCTCCATATAGAAGGACCAAAAGGTGTTTAACATTAATGATAATGCTAATAGAAAGTTTATCAGATTTGTTGCAGCAATGATTTCGAAAAATCAGTTGGTCAAGAAAGCCAAACAAAATGCTGAGCTGTTTGCAGTATTAACTATAAACACTCAAAATGTAACAGATGATAAAAGAATTGATATTCTGGAATTCTTAAAAGAAGTTGTGGATGAGTATTAGGATGTTTTTCCAGAAGAGTTACCAAACAACTTATCACCAAAACGAAGTGTCGACCATGAAATTACTCTCTAAGAAGGTGCGACACCTTCATTTGGCCTTATTTACAGGTTATTGTTCCATGAATTAAGGGAATTAAGGAAGCAGTTGGGTGAATACATAAAAAAAGGAATAGTCCGTCCTAGCACATTACCCTACAGAGCCCCAGTGCTTTTTGTAGCTAAAAAGAATAGTACCTTTCATATGTGCATAGACTATAGAGCTTTGAATAAAATCACAATAAAGAATCGGTACCCCCTTCCTCTTATAAACGATTTATTAGATCGGCTCACTGGTGCTGTAATTTTTAGTAGAATCAACTTGCGATCTGGATATCACCAAATATGCATTAAAGAAAAAGACATTAAAAAGACAGTGTTTCACATATAATACAGCCATTATGAGTTTTTAGTAATGCCATTCGGTTTGACAAACGCACCAGCTTTCTTTATGCACTTAATAAATGATATATTTCGAGATTTTCTAGATAAATTTGTAATAATTTATCTAGATGATATTTTGATTTACAGCAAATCACAAGAAGATCATGTGAAGCATGTGAATCAGGTGTTAAAGTTGCTCTGAAAGAACTAGTTATATGAAAAAATTAGCAAATACGAATTCGGAAAAACCAGTGTTGAATTTTTAGAACACATAGTGTTCTTAAAAGGGCTTATGACTGATCCAAAGAAAGTAGAGGTGGTCAAAGCATAGAACATACCTAAAAATATACATGAACTTCATTCTTTTTTAGGATTAGTAAATTACTATTGGAAGTTTATAGCTAACAATTTCCAATTAGCAATACCTCTTACGACTCTTTTACATAAAAATTAGCTATACAAATGGGAAGTTGAACAAGATAATGCATTCAAAGCATTAAAAAATGCACTAGTTAGTGCCCCAGTTTTAGATCCTGAAAAACCATTTGTGGTAATGATAGACACCTCCGATTTTGTAATAGATGCTGTATTAATCCAATATCAAGAAATCGGTGAACAACCAGTAGCATATGAGTCAAGAAAAATAACCTCTGCTAAAATGAATTACCCCATCTATGAGAAAGAGCTTTTGGCTATAATCTATGCTCTAAAAGTATGAAGAGTTTATTTAGAAAGTTGACCTTTTACAATTATAACAGATCATGCATCACTTGAATGTATAAATAATCAAGCAAAATTATCATAAAGGCAAGCAAGATAGGTGGAACTGCTGCAATCATATAATTTTAAAATTAAATATAGGCTGGATAAAACAAATACTGTTGCTGATGCATTATTCCGGAAGCCTGAAGCCAATGTCTTTCAACAATTGAAGTTAACCTGAAATTTTATAATACAATTCGGGAGGAGTATCTGAAGGATGAATATTTAAAACAAATAAGAAATGCATTAAAAGATAAAAACAGTGATGATGCCAAACATTTAAAACATCAAATACGATGATACAAATTAGAAGAAAATGGATTACTCTATCCGGTAGAAGTCCCGAAAAATCCACAGCTATGTTTAAGCCATATGTCAAAGTTAAAAGTAACAATAATGCATGAACACTATGATATTAATGAACATCCAGAAGTAGATCACATGTATAATAGCTTGCAGTGACTGTATTATTGAAAGAAAATAGGAAAAGACATAAGAAAATATGTAAATAGTTGTGAAAGTTGCCAGCAGAACAAACCATTGAACCATGTATCTGCTGAGTTGTTGCAACTATTGAATATTCTGAACCAACCTTGGAAGCAAGTTTCAATGGATTTTATAACTCATTTGCCACTTACCAAGGAAGGCCACAATGCAATTATAGTTGTAGTGAATAGATTTAGCAAAAGAGCCCATTTTATCTCAACACGTTCAACAGTTACGGCACCAGAAGTAGCAAAATTATATTTTCGTGAAATTTTTAAGAATCACAGATTGTCATGTGGAATAGTGTCAGATCGAGACCCGAAATTTGTAAGTAAATTCTGAAAAGAATTGTTTAAATTACTAGGCACAAAGTTGCATATATCTTCTGCAGCATACCCACAAACGGATGGACAAACAGAACGAACTAATAGAATATTAGAAACTATGCTACAAATCTATACTAACTATCGACAAGACAATTGGAACCAGTTATTGTCAGCAGTGGAATTTGTGTACAACAATGTTCAGCAATCATCAACAGGGTTTACTCCATTCCAACTTGATTATAACTGCCAACTGATAACCCCTAGTAGCCTGGCATCAAAGTCTGCAAGGAAAATAAAAGTTAAAGTGGCCCATGAATTATATGAGCATTGGACAGCAATGATGGTGATGGCAAGGGATGCATTATTTTCAGCTCAGAAAAAATAAGCAAAGTATTACAATAAAAACTACTGAGACCAGGAATTTAGTATAGGTGACCATGTTATGCTTTCTACAAAAAACCTGGTACCAGCAGCAGATTTAAACATGATTTCAAAAAAGTTAGTGCCAAAATTTATCGGACCCTATAAGGTTGAAAAGAAGATGTCCATGACAGCATATAAGTTGACTCTGCTTCCGAACATGAGAATTCACTCAGTATTTCATGTTTCTCTGTTAAAACTATACATACCAAATGAGTTTGAAGGAAGGAACGAAAACCACCACCGTCTGTATTCCTTAAGGGTCTGAGTTCTGAACCAGAATTCGAAGTAGAAGAAATCCTAAACAAACGAACTTATTACCGGAAACCACAATACTTGATTAAGTGGAAAAGGTACCTCCTATATGAAGCAACATAAGAACTGCTATCAAATTTGAAGAATGCTATGGAGATGGTGAAGAGATTTGAAACAGGTAACAAAGAAACAATAGATAAGAATGTTGAAATAGGTAGTCTTAGTTTAGGAGAGAAAAAGTATAACAGGTTAAGTATACCTAACAATAATCGATCCATATTTGATAGTTGTAGTAACAGTTACATGCAAGAGATGGAAATCGATCATAATCAGGTTTGTAACAAGAAAACTAATGCACAATCGAGTAATAACCTAAAAGAAGATAACCAGCATTTATCATGCTTATATGACACAACTATGATCATTGATCATGATCGTGCACTGGGAATTAATGAAGTAATCAATGATAATATTAATTAGTCAGAGTTTTAGTTAGAGAAATTAATTAGTAATATAGTTAATGCACATAATAAATGTAGTCATAGTAATATAGTTAATAATAGTCAATTTGTAAGATATAAAAAGAGGGCAATAAGTAAATAAAGAAAAAATTATAAATGGTTACAACTACTGTTCTACATCTTTACCACCAAATTTCTTCTCTAAACATCTCTTCTACAATCTTATATATAATCTGATACTCTGCTTCACAGCTTTATGTGAAATCTGTTTAGCATACAACTCCTTAAACATACTCTCAATTGCTAACCCATATATGCATGCTTCCTTATATTTAATTCTATCTACTTCTGTTTTATCAACTAATATTCTTTTCAAGTCATGTTTTGTAAACTTGCATTTGTTTAACTTGTCAAACTTTTTCCATACTAACCAACATGCTAACTCTTCAATATTGTTCCAATAGCTCTCATATTTCTTACAACTGAACAAATGTCTTGATGATTTTTCTTTTGTTTTATATTCTTTATATAAGTCTGAACTATACAAGTCTGGTGCTTTCTTCTTTAACACCTTAAGCACTGGCAAACTATCAGTAATACACTTAATTCTAAATGAGATTCTCTTGCTCTCCTCTAATGATTTATATTTGTTTCTTATTAAACTTCTATTTTCTTTTCATAACCATTTCCAATCACATTATGCTTCTGCATCTGGTTCTAGCTCTTTTGTTGCTTTTGAGCAATACCATTTAGCATCATTCATCATGTTCATTAATGTCTTGACAAATTTTCTTGTCAGTATCTCTACTACTGTATTTCTTTAAAATAATACATATAGAAATCTCAAGTTTTTCTCAAGCTTCAAATCTGTAATTTTAATCTGCCATGCACCTTCTTTTGCAAGCTTATCTGCTCTTTCATTCTATAATATTCCACTATATGCTTTGACTTTAACTAATGATAGCTTAATGTTCTTTGACTTGCACATGTCTTTAATCTTTGTAACTAATCTAAAGTTCTTACTTTTATTTCATACTCTAATATTATATAGTGGTTTCTCACTTTCCAGGCTTGCAATTGCTGCTGCACTATCTAATTTAATAACTACCTTACTATTACATGCTACAATTAATACTGCCATTCACATTGCAGCTAACTCTGCCTTTGTCGATGATGGCTATTTTGCTATTCTAATTTTCCTTTTTATTAATAGTCTACTCTTATCTTTGCTAACCTGAACCCAACTTGCACCTATTTTGCACTCATTTTTCTTTTTTACTAGTGACTCATCTGTATAAAAACTGTAATTTGTATACTCTACTTTCATGTTTTCTTTCAATTGCTTTAATAACAATGTTTCTAGATTATTATCAAAACTTTACATCTTTAACAGACTCATCTCATATGTGTGTACTTTTATTTTCTTATTTATGACTTTTTCTCTATTATTACTTCTATTTTCTGTGTGACTCTCTTTATATTTACTTAATTCTTTTAACAGAACTGGAATTTTCTGATTGTTCTCTTGTCTAATTCCTGGTAGCATGCCTGCTATTTCTTTTTTCTTGACCCAATACTAGCAGTTACTTGCATCCTTTTCATTATTC